AAAAAAAAACCGACCTTGTCTAGTCAAAGGTCCCTCTCATATTTGCTTTTTAACTTTTTTTTTGAGACAAGGTCTCACTTCATAGCTTTGGCTGTCCTGGAATTCACCATGTAGACCAGACTGGTCTCAAACTCAAAGATCCTCCTGCCTCTGCTCCACAAGTGCTGATATTAATGGAATGTGCCACTATGACCAGCTTTAACTTTTTTTTTTTTCTTTCAGCACTGGAAATTGAACCCAGAGCCTCACACATGGTAGGCAAGTATTCTATCATAACTAAGCAAACGCCCAACCTCAAACTTACTTTTAGACATAAAAATCATAATTAAGATTCAACTACTCAGTTGCCCTAACCGATCCTCCTTTACCTCACTCAGAACAAGACTTTCTTTCATGATTCTCCTGGGGGACTGCAGGTGACAAGAAGCAGCCAGTCAGTCACTAGCAGAGTAAGTCTTTTCTGTCCCACATTACTGTGCCAAGGTGGCAGTTCCTTTTCTTCTGGACATCTCTCTTCTGTACCAGTACAGTCAGTCAGGTGATGGTGTGGAATAAAACCTTGGCCTGAGTGATCAGAAGGGTATATGACACACCCAAGGCCAGGATTTTCAGGGAGTTTTACCTTCTCCAGAATTACTTCACTGGCTGAATGAAAGCCAGAGGCTCATAGAAGCAGCCCAACCGCCACTCTCTCACACACACACCTGAGAATGGAGCTGACACTGAGTTCAGTAACACCATGATGTGCAGACTAACGAGTCCAAGTTCCAGTACCTAGACCTAGCTCTGGCTGAAGACCATACACAGAACTTTCCAATTAAATAAAATCCTATAATTCCTTTTTTCACCCTTGAAGCTAAATTACCATTTCACACACCTGGAATGAATAAAGCCTTGTACCACTACTTACAAAAAGGCTGTTTTTATGCACTTGTTAGCTTACAATGGACCATGGCTTTATCTCTTCAAAGTTGTCTATCTGGATCTGACAAAATGTTGGGAATTTGACCTGTGTTACCTACTAAGTGATGTACAATGAAAAGGAGGTGAAGTCATTGGTTGAGGATCTGTACTTAGTAAAAAGTAGAGAGTAAGTCCCCACCGTATTCATCCCGCCCCCCGCACAGGGCAGGGTCTTGTTCAGGGTCCAAGTCGCACTCTTACTTTCAAGTGTTCTGTCACCTCCAAGGGCATAACGGTGGACACGCTCGTTTCTGTTGGGGTTTATTAAGTCGTCTGAGGTTCTAACTGTCCAAGATAAGAGGGGGCACTCAACGGCTGCCACCCCACAAAACAAACTCACCGGATACGTTCACAAAGATCAACCCTGGCTACTCCTGAAGTATTTCAAGTGCACCAACCAACAGGCCTCTTCGTGAGAGATTCTGCCGCGTGGCAAACCAAATCTCTAGCCTGCCCAAAGGACCAACCCCAGCCAGGAACCCCAAGCGCCCTCGGTAACCGACCTCGGGTCCGCAAAGGGACGCTCCGGGTCGGGGCACAGCGGGCGACGTAACGAACAGGACTGGACGTGCGGAGTCCCCCGAGTCCCCGCCCGCCGCTCTGGCCGGCTCCGGCGGGGCGAACGAGCGGCCGGAGGCCCCGCGCAGCCCGCGAGCGCTCACCTCTCCCTGAGGCCGCCGCCGCGTTCAGGTTCGCCGTGGTCGAGGCCAGAGCAGGGTGCGAAAGAGTGAGGCCCGTTCTGTGAGCCGCACCCGCGCTGGGACTTAGCCCACCGCACCCGCCGCAGCGACTCCGCTGCTACCGCCGCTCAGCTTCCAAGATGGCCGCTCGAGGGGATGGCCTAGGCGCCGCTTCCGCTTCCGGTGCGCTGTTTGCGAGGGGAAGCACTTCTCTAGGCAGCTTGGTGGAGGGCTCTACTCTCCGTTCCTGGGTGTCCCGGGTATCTTAACTGTCTTGGAGTAATTACGTCCCGCCGCTGCGTAAAGCGTAGCTGGCGCGTGCGCACTGGAGAAGAGCTCGGGGGAGGGGCGGGGAGCGAGTAGCTTGACTCCTCCAGGAGGCTCGCGGGACAGGATACTGTCTGGCCGGCACCCCAGAAACAATAAGTGGCTGCAGGCATCCCTCATTGCCCCTGTCCCCCATATCTCGGGCCAGCCTGGGACGCCAGGTCCAGAGAAAAGATGACCCGTGAGAGTTCACCACGATCCTCTTAACTCGAGGATTCCGGGCCTAGAGGTCATCTAGCCTGCCCTCGCTGCCCCTCTAGCCATGAAGACTCCTGTGTACAGCGCAACTGATAGGCATAGGCATAGCCAACCCTGCGACAGCCTCCTAGCCCTGAGGACAGACGTCCTCATAAAAATAGTTTCTGTATTTTTTTGTACCAAACTTTCGATCCAGTTCATGAATACTGTCATTATGCTCGAGGACATTTCTCTAAGACGGGTTTCCTCTTCCATGGCCTCCTTCCTGGCCTTGGAGAGGGGAAGTGTCACATCTTGGTCACTTGGCCAGGCCATCTGGCTGCTAGTGGGGATGTTCTGAGTACTAGTTTGGGCCCTGACAGCTGGAGAAGCTGGGTAGAGAGGCTGATAGATGTCCAGACTTCCCCAGACACTCATGCTCACATTCCTGCCTCACCTTTGCATTTCTGGGATGCTCAAATTTGTTCTCATGTTGGTGACGTATATGTCACACACATCCTATGCCCTTGACCCAGCACCTTACCCTTTCATTTGCTTGTGAACTCAGTGTATGTAGGTTCCAGGAAACCAAGCTGGATGTGGCGAGTGTTGGGACTCCACCTTGCAGGGCAAAGTAGGGCTGGGATCTGGACAAAAGAACCTGGATGGTCTCACATCCCCTTTGGTCACGTGAGAAGTAGCTGAAGACTGGACCAAGTGGTACTTGGGATGTCCTCAGGCTGTTCCAGGGATGCAAGTTTGGGCTACGAAGCAGAGGCAGTCATTGGCAGTGCCTAGCCAACCAGATATGTAGGGCAGAATTGCTGTTCAACTTAAAGTTCTCATCCTTCACCATGACCCTGACTGCCTCTGAGCATCAACAGTGGGCTCACTAACTGATTGTTGACAATTGATGGCTGAGACTCAGCACTGTGGTGATGTGTACCCCAATATATTAGTAAACAATATATTGGGGTACTAAATATATATTATATATAAGCATATGTTTATATATATAAATAAATATTTAGGGATCAGAGGACAGAGCCAGCCACTAGATTAGACATAGAGGTCAGGCAGTAGTAGCACACTCCTTTAATCCTAACACTAGTTTACCATAGAGGTCTGGAGGTCTGTACAGACATACAGGAAGTGAGAGAGAAGGGCGGAAAAGGAAGTGATGGAGCTGGGCAGAGAGAGGAAGTAAGATAGCAGGGCACAGAAAGGTATATAGAGCCTAAGTATACAGGAAGTAGCTCTCTTGGGCTGAGGGTTTTTCCTAACAGTAAGAGCTTGTGGCTGGCTTGTTCTATTCCGTTGATCTTTCAGTTTTCACCCCAATATCTGGCTCCAGGTTTTTTATTAATAAAACCGTTTAGCAGTTTGTGTTACACAGCACTGTGAGTCCAGCAGTGGCCATTGATTCACAGGGCAGGTGGTGGATGAGCCCATCACCTTAGTTGTGATCTGGCCTGCTGCAGCAGGGCTAACCCCTGAGCCCTGGGGAGTGTCCTGCCTGTCAGCCCACTATGGCAAGTTAGCCCTGGGAAACCAGTGGCTTCTCTCACTGACAAACTCAGAAAACACATCAGAGAGACCCTTTGCCTCCTCCTTCCCCAGAGCTCTATGGTCCCTAATCAAGGTAAATTAAGTCACCTTTGTTATTTTGCATTTTTTGTTGTTCCAGAGCTGAGGGCCAAACCCAGGGCCTTGTTCTTGCTAGCAAGCGCTCTACCGCTGAGCTAAATCCCCAACCCAAATTAAGCCACTTTTAAAGGATGCAAAGTTAGAAAAGAGGCCATTCTGCGTAGAAAAATAATCATGGGCTCTCTGGAACATACCTTGCTGGCTAGTTTTATGTCAATTTGACACAAGCTAGAATCATCTGAGAGGAGAGAACCTCAATTAAGAAAATGCATCCAGCCGGGCGGTGGTGGC